TCCGAAACTTACCTATGTATTTATCGTAAAATCTTATTCGTCACTTGTGAATAATATAATCCTCAATTCAGTTTGTATATATCCATTTATCACTACGTGTACAGTCACGATCGTCTCTCACCCGCAAGATTCATTGGGTTTCAATTATAAATACTTTCCATATCTCCCTGTAAATCTTCTTGCGAATTTTATTACTGTGTTTAAAGTACCAAATGTCGCATGTCTGTCTTAGTCGACAAGTATAGATAAATAAAGCCAACCTGATTCACATGGACCTGTTTGACTTGCATTATTTTATCAAATATTTCAAAAAATACAATAATCTACAGCTTTTTTTAGATCTATTGGCTGTATCCTTTTTTTCATTTTTTTTTTCAAGAAATCGGTGTGAAATACTCAATGTTTACCAGGTGCATGCTCACTATTTATATCTAAATATTCAAGTCCTTGTATCTTCTAGCGTCCCAGGCGCTTAGATCGTGATGAGTCACATCCGTTTCCTGCTTTGTTAACCATGTGTTTTGATGAAAACTGTGTGTGTGTGTGTGTGTGTATTTGTTGTGTTGTGCTTGTGCCATATTTATTATACAGCCATGCTCAACTATAACCTATATATCAAGTTAAAAAACCTATTCAGCAGCTCGAAGATCGACAGAACCTACCAAATCCTCATCCTGTTAATGGTCTAAATCTGATCACTGGCTGATTTTTAGGTTATTTAAAGCGCATTTTCAAAATCTACATCTTGGCTCACACTTAATTAGTATACTTCTTGATACTAGATCTGTATATTTTGATAACATATGTTTTCTTCTGAATTCACATTTTGTTGTGATATTGAAAGTAATCCAGGGCCAGTACAGAATATAAACTTGGTTCATTTGAATGTAAGGTCTCTCAGAAACAAGACAGCCTTGGTAGAAGCAGAATTTGAGGATAATGATATAGTCTGTATAACAGAATCTCATTAAAACCCTTCAATATCTAACCTTGACGTTCAGATGCACTCCTTCAATTCCAATCCTCATAGACAAGATATAACTACTGGTCCGGGGGGTGGGGTTATAGTTTATCACAAGGATAATATTGTTATGAATAAGCGAATGGACCTAGAAAAGGATGATGTTGAACTTATATGGTTAGAAGTATTTGTTAATAATCATACATTTCTTCTTGGATGTTTATACAGACCAGAAAGTAATGTTGAATACTGCAATAAATTAGATGATACGTTGACCAGAGCTACAGATACTTCACTGGATGCGGTACTGACAGGTGATATTAATATCGATATGTTAAATCTCCCGTTGAATGATCACTTATCAAACATAATTTACTTAGTCTTATTAATGAACCCACAAGAATAACACCTGACAGTGCCACATCCATTGATATTATCTGTACTAATAACCAAAACATAGTTACAAATACTCATGTATCTTCACCATTTTGCAGTGAAATCTTCTCAGTACATTCTTCAATTTCTTATTCTGTATTTTGTAAAAGTAAGCTATAAAAAAACTATTTTAAAATATGAAGAAGCAGACTTTGATAGAATGAACAATGCCTTATTTGATATTGATTGGTTGAATTTGTCTTCAAATCAGGATTCTAATAATTTTAATAGCTCTATAGTCAAAGCAATCACGGAGCAGGTCAATAGATTAATACCTACAAAAGTAATAACTGTGCGCCCAAATGATAAACCTTGGATGAATAACACAACTAGATTGAACATGAGACAACAAAATAGAATTCACTGAAAAGCTAAATTAACAAATAATCCCCATTATTGGGAACAATTTCGAACCCTACGGAATGAAACTATTGACCTTATCCGTGAGGCAAAAGCAAACTTTATAAAAAATCTTGAAAAACCACTAAATAATAATATGGTTACTCCAGATAAATGGTGGAAGATAGCTAAATCTATTACCATTTTTTCTAATAAATCATCTTCTATTCCGCGACTTGAATCCAACGGCCAAATAATCCATCAACCAACTGACAAAGTAGAGCTTCTTAACAATCACTTCACTAATATTTCTACATCAACACCTGACCTCAAAATACCCCAAACAGCACAACCCAATTAAAATCCCCCCCCCCCCCTTCACTATCAAACATTCATATCACTGAACAAGATGTTGCCGGTCAAATTAATATACTCAACGCTAATAAACCCCCAGGCTCTGATGGTGTTATTCCTAAAATTGTGAAAAAGCTTCATGCTTCTCTTAAATTACCTCTTATGTTATTATTCAATAAGACACTAGAGTCTGGTATAATACCCTTTAGTTGGAAACAAACAAATGTTAATGCTATTTATAAAAGACCGACCGATTTCAATTACATCATGCTTCAGTAAAATAATGGGAAAACATATCTGTACAACTTTTTGATTGAGAATGATATTATTACTAAGCATCAGTCTGGCTTTATACCTGAGGATTCTACTGTCAATTAGCTTGTGTTTATTTATAATGAAATTGTAAGCAATATGGATAAAGGAAAGGAGCTTCGATCTGTCTTTTTGTGATATCAGTAAAGACTTAGAGTAGGTCTTTTATTTAAATTGAAATTATATGGTATCAAGGGAAGTTCACTTTTGTGGTTTGAGAATTATCTATCTAACAGAATGCAAAGAGTAAATACTGAAGGTTACTTTTTACAATTTACGAATGTAAATGCAGGGGTACCTCAAGTATCTGTCCTTGGACCACTATTATTTCTTCTCTGTATCAATGATATCACTACTAATATACCAATATCTAACTTTTTGCTGATGACACTTCTCTGTATGTAATTATAGATAATAACCCAGCACAGGCCACACAATCTCTCAACACTGATCTTACTAACATAGGTGAATGGGCAGCAACCTGGGACATTATAAATTCAATCCAGGTAAAACAAAATCTATCATATTTTCTATGAAAAACAAGACGCTCATCACATCCCAATATTTTTCAAAAATAGCCAAATCATAGACACATCATCACATCAGCACTTAGGACTTACACTGAGACTTAATATTCTTCGCCACGTGAAAACTAAAGTCAATAGAAAATCATTAATTGAAATATATGTGGGATGTATTAGGTCAATTTTGGAATATGCAGATATTATTTGGGATAATTGTACACAACAGGCAAAAGATCTTCTTGAATCTGTACAATTAGAAGCAGCTAGGATAATAACAGATCTTCGTTCTGGGGCATCACATGGCAAACTATACAATGAACTAGGTTGGAAAACACTATCTGTAAGACGTAATAAACACAAACATGTAATGATGTACAAAAGTATGCATGGGCAGACATCTCAATACTTACAAAATGTTTTAAATCCTTTAATCAAAATGATAACCCCTACCCTCTCAGACAAACTAGGCTTTTCAACCCACCGTTATGTAGAACTAATAACTATTTCGACAGCTTCTGCAGCATTAAAAAATTATTTGAATAAAGATATTGTTTCTGATAGTGAATCAGTATCAATGTTCAAAACAGAAGGTACATGTAACAGAAGAGGAAATATTATTCTATGTTAACTTCGAAACTCTGGTAGTAATTTAAATTATGATTTACATGATGACCATCTTACTAATAGTCCAGCGTGTACCTGCTCTGCTGAACATGAAACAGTATCTCATTACTGTTTAGAATGTCCTATTTTTAATAATCAAATAACTACTTCGTTCACTTATCTTAATAGTTATGGCAACCACAATCACATTGATATAAACATTCTTATCCAGGGCTGTCCTGATTGTGATGGGCTTACAAATAGACGAATACTTGATGATGTGCATATTTTTATTGGAAAATCCCGTCGTTTTAATTTTTATATGACTTAAAGCCATGATGGTATACAAAAATATACTATATATTCTATATTTCATCCAGGAGATTCTAGTTGAGCATGACTACTGTCTATTGCGTGTACTTATCATGACATTGTAAATAATTACACTTTATATGTATTAAATGAATTTATTATTTTTAATTGTAACAGTTGTTGGTAGCAGTGACCTGTGCAATATATGCACAGCGACTTTTGGTCTAAGCCTGCCAATATCTGTCTGTGATAGTGTTTATATATGCTGAAATAAATGTATTTGTACATGTACTTGTATGTGTGTGTACATGTGTATGAGGTGTGTGAGATGTTTCCTTCCTGAGTTACTTCACCTAAGCCTTGTGTTAATATGAATTATTTTGTGTTAATTTGTTTGCATTTCCAACATGTTTAAAATATTATGTCTCATTGTTTATTCCACTATGGCCATTTGACGGAGAAAATGTATATAGGCTTTGCCCGTTATTCTATCCAATTGACTATAACATCTTGTCAATAAAATTTGATGAAATGAAAAAAATATATTTGACCACTGTGACATTGAAAATTAGTCGAGGTAATTCATTTTCACAAATTTAGTAACCCTTAGTACCAGCATGTTACTGGCCAAATAGCATCACCCTTGTCCTTTTGGTTATTCAGGGGAAGTTGTTTAATTAAAAAATTGATGACGGACGGACGGACGGACGACGGACACCGCACAACGGCATAAACTCATTTGGCCCTTCGGGCCAGGTAAACTAAAAATATACTTTACACGTGCAAAACCTTCCGTGGTTAAACAAGCACAATGCCAAGTTTGACTGAATTTTATCGACGTTTACATGACTAACCCCAAACTAATACCGAGGACATTATGACAAAGCAATTATTTTTTTTCAGATGTTCCGCTATGCCATATTTTAAATAATGTAACGTTTCTTATGAGGGCATATACATTTTGATTTATAAATCTGTAAAGCCCGCGTGATATACTCAGAACAATTACAGTAGCTACAACCAAACAAACAAGCGAACAAAAATGCTTCCAATGAGCATATATCGACTATATGACTGAAATAAAAACTTAATATTTCAGATCCTATGAATAATTTTCCTTATATGTAATAACAAAGTAGCAAAACATGACAAACACTTACTTGAGTGACATGAATTCACTTGTAATACCCAGCACACAGGCAATCGCTAGGTCATTAAGACGATCCTGATATAGCAGTACATGGGTTGCAATGTACCGATTGTACAGCTTGTGTGTATTTATATACTGATGTGAAATTCTCTTTATCGGAAAAACATACCTACACTTTCGGTTTCAGTTTGTGATTTCTGTAAACATATCTGTGTGTCAATTCTGTGTCGGGTGTGGTTTATTTGTTATGTTTCTGCCAAGCAACAACAATAATACAAATGTTCTTATTATGTTCTGTATAAGTATATTTTAAAATATATGTGAACGAACAAAATATATGAATAAGGCCTCCCATTAGGAAAGACTAAAAGTAAACGCAATCAGGTTTTTATTCCGTAATAAAATTGACCATAATTCGATACTACATAAGACTTTCATATTAAACAGTTATTTGAATAGTAAGACACCTTTACAAATCAAACTCCATTATCATTCCACACGTATTCCATTAAATTTAAAAAAGTAATATAAATCTTATAGGAAGGCAAATACAAACTAAGAGCACGGGTGCATTTGCTATTCACATATTAAGCATGCCACATGTAACATGACTGCATTCTTTATAGAGCACTTGTCGAGACAAAAGACTAAAGGTAATATCAGTTGTCGAAATCTAAACACGGCAATATGATTAATACCAAGAATTAAAAGGGTATTAAAACGAACGGACGATATTTTTAACGTATTCTTCAAAAACAGATGGTACATACTTTAAGGGTTATAAAATAGAACAGTGACATTTAAAAAACCCACCACAAATCGATGTAGTCCGTTTTCAGAGATATTTAAGAAACCGTGAGAAGTACTTTATAGTGTAGGATACCACAGTACTCGTGGGGTTGAAAAAAGGGGACAATGTAGGACAAAACAATAGGAAAGTATTTAAGATAGTTGTATGCATACACTCAAATGCAGTGGTACACACTGCCTTAAACATCTCTTATCATTTATTATTTTACCATTTCATGATTTATTTATAACTAAACTTATTCGTAAAAGATTCACCATTTATTCAGCATATGGTGAAGCTAGTGTGACAGTGACTTTAGAAGTATACCTACGTATTCAATGTCATACTGTGTTTGAATTTAGAGATCTCGGTTGTAGAAAGGTTGTTATGCAATGCGTTTATAATTGATATTTAACATATATACAAAGAATAAATAAGAATAAAATATTGCATAGTTAACTGTGTATTGAAAAAAATCTGTGGATAGACTGAATCAACTGACCTTTTGTTGACTAGTGTCGATATTAGACAGATTATCTACATTTGTTGATAGATAATTGATATGTTAAGGAAATGTTGCTATTTCACCATACATAACTCCGTCAACATCACACTTACAATAATATATAACTAGCTAATTGGTAGAATCTATACCCCTGTTTGAGGGCAATGGTGTAGCTGTACCCTGCACATGAGTCATTGGCCGAGACAGACTCATTAATTTTCATATACGCTTGAATAACATTTCACTGTAGAATGCATCCGTTAGGTCGGTGGACTCTAGTTTATAGAAAAAGAACTTGAGAACTCCATGACACATTAATATGTCTTTGACTAAATAATACGTGGGCGAATTCAATATCGAAACTAAAATACCAGGAACTGAAGGACCTTTCCGCGTACAAGCGATGTCTATTGGAAGACGATTTAAAAATAATTACTGGTGTATACTTAATAAATACACATAACCTAATGGAGAGATCATCATACTGTGATCTTGAACACAAGTCGCTTCTATTATGCAAAACAAAATGCGAACTTTAATACACCGTCATACCTACTTTGTAATCTACACTTAGGAGTCGGTTTTATTATATACAGGATACAGACAGGAGTGTGTATGTAGATATACACCTCTTATACACACGCAGTGTACGTATATATATATAGGTTTGTTTTACCTTAGTATACGTAGTTTAGAGGCTTGACCGAATGGTATTTTCAGAAACATATACAAGGTGTATGTACCTGTACCTGTTACATGTATTAATGAAATTCGTTGAAAAAGAAACCAGTCTATATATTTTTTAAATTCAGGTAGGGATTTGCTGAACGTCAAAAGTGTTGTTTATAGCATTCATTGGATGTTATATTGAACAATAATACACATTGTTTTACAGTTATATATATTAATAAATGTACAAAACTAAACACATAGTTTCATAGGATTCAAAACAGATACCAGAAGATTATTACCTTTACTATACTTTTGTGTTGTTCTCTATCATGCCTTCCATAAAATGAGTATAAAAAACAACGAAATGTGTAAGGTCGTTTATTTTACTGTTTCGTTAGGTAGTCATTGTCTCTATATTCCTATGTTGGCTGTTCTTTTATTGAAAATTATAATGATTTATCAATATGCATACCGTGTAGCTATGATTAATAGGATAATATGTATGTAGTACCTGTACCTGCAATTAGCAACTACTCCCAATGATACGATAGCCGCCATCTTGTTGTTGTCGTTTGGTTTTTGCAGACAATGAAGACATCCAGAATAGGAAGGTGCGTTCTCACTTTTGTATTAGAATGTTCTGCACATATAATTAGAGCATTTAACTGCATTTAACAGTTGTCGCCTGGTCACAGTTTTTAATGACGACCGTTGTATGGACAGTTTTCTGTCCAATAATGGCCGTCTGCGGCTGTTCCAAGAATTGGACCAGTGATGTTTTGCGGCAGCAGAAATTATAAATTAAGCTCATCCGACTTTAATAAAAGACAGTTCGTATTAGGAAATGCAAATATAACGGACGTCATTCTATTTATCTGTCTCCCAGATTGCATTCATATTGGCTGTTACTGCAATCTGACAGACCTTCAATACTTATATAACAAACACAATAAAACAACATAACACAGATAAACCAAAGTCTTCACTTTTCTTCGTGTACTGTAAATGTAACGCATAAGCCAGTACTGTAGGAGTGGGCGAACTACAGTTTAAGGGTTAGAATGACATGTACATATATTTGTGTCAGCGAGGTAACATGTTAAGAGACTGCAGCTTGTTTTGTTGTACATATTAACTAATACACAAAAACACAGAAAGTAGAATTGTTGTTAAATGGTCATTTATTAATGACAGGTACAAACTTGTGACACTACAAGTTCACAATTTGTATAATCAAATATTAGTTATGTTGGATAATACATAGATAAGAAGTACATTTACTTCTGTTTATATGTAACAACAAAGGTGGGGTACAAATGGTAGGCACCGAGGAAGAGCGCAAGATACATACATGGATGAATTCATGATATGTAGAAAAATGCAACTCATCACCCCTTCATACCGTGACACGAATCCCCATTATGATCGGATAACGTCAATGCATTCAAACGTATTTGCGTAAACAATACCTGGATTTTTTTCTGCTGCTAGAAAAATCGTTGACTCCACGTAATTTTATCCACAATGGAGTAAACGGTTTGTTCGGGTACTTTAGTACATGTCACAATATGAAGGTAACACAGTATTGGATATTTTAAGTTTACAATGTCCCAAGCACAAATTATTATTCCAAAACTGTGTGGAGCTCAGCAGCAGAAAATATTTTGCATCGAAGTGATGCAGAAGCAGAAGGGACGCGGACAGACTCTCGTATAGGTGCACGCATCGCTGATTGGTCAAGATAGGTCCATGACAATCGGGCATGATGACCCAATAAGCCAACCAAGGGCTATCCCCTTGTAATGGGAGCGTGATCATAACACTAACACGTGATAAAATCAATATAAATAGATAACAGATGGTCAACAGCTGGGTGGTATTATAAAAATGGGACATTACTATCGATTACGCAAGCGCCAACTTATATAATTTGCAAAACACAAGTTTGTAATGATTGACTCCGAGCACGAGTGAACTAATTACTAATAAAGTTACCATCTTACCCAAATGTATTTATTTTATGAAATTAATCTAATATATATTGAAATGTATTACGTTTTCATTATATATATATACATATGCGTGTGTGTGTGTGAGGTTGTGTGTGTATGTGTATCTAATCTAGCCCGAGTGTCAATAGCCACCCCTATTATATCTTTCACACTAGAACTATTATGTTACAGTATTATGTATCAGAGTGATATGTCCCGAGCGAATTATATTTCATATTGTTATGTTCAAAGTGTCTATATACCAACATACTGACTAAACAACTTCAAACCAACTAACCAGCTAACCAACCAACCAACCAGCCAGCCAGCCAGCCAACCAACCAACCAACTAGCCAGCCAGCCAGCCAACCAGCCAGCCAGCCAGGCAACCAACCAACCAACCAACCAGCCAGCCACCCAGCCACCCAGCCACCCAGCCAGCCACCCAGCCACCCAGCCAGCCACCCAGCCAGCCGGCCAAATAAATAACCATATTTTGTTTTTATTTTAGCTTAACAACAAATGTAATTAGCATAGTATTGCTTTTAATATATATAGCATCTCTTATTTAACCAACTTCTAAGTACATGTACTTGGTTTCTACACTTTGACATGTTATGTAGTGTGAAATTCATTTTGAAATAATGTAACAAGTTTTGGTCAGCATTTAACCTTAACTTCCGCAAACACTGAGAGGATTATATACATGCTATGTATTTCAGTCACGTGTTGTTGCAATATATTTCCCGTTGGCTATTTAGCATGTTTGAATGAGTTTCCTCCCTTTAATAGTATATTCGAGTAGAATAACAAATGTTGTTTCAGATTTGTAGTGTAAAATCGAAGGTGATGTAAGTGATTTTTGTCAAATAAACTAATATAAGTAAAATTATGATATGTTAGACAAACGGGGAAACATTTCGTTCAAATGTATTCAAACATTTACATACGTGTTGCAATGCCCCTAGAAAACAATACCAACAAAAAATGCTGGTATAAAAGCAAGTGTGAAGTGTGTAGTAATAGTAACAGTGCCAAATGTATCGTTACATGACCTCTGACCCCCAAACACAAAAAAAAAAAAAAAAAAAAAAAAAAAAAAAAAAAAAACAAGGCTGTTTATTAACGTTAAAAAACACAAAAA